TCAACAAGCCCAGGAAGGTTCAATTACCAAGTGGCAGAGGCAGGATTTGAACTTATGTCTGACTTCCAAGCAATCTTACCTTCCCTCCACCACCACAGTGCCTGTCTTTGGAAATGCACAGACAGGATGATGAAGAGATGACTATGATAATTCTCTAGCAGACTCACTCATCTCTCTCATCACAGATGATTAGCTCTTCCTTGGAAAGTCAGTGGCATCCAAGAGCACAGAAAATAGAAGCAATCTTAAAAATACAGGAGGAAATTTGAGTTTTGATAGTTAAAGCAGTAGAGACAGAGTCCTTGTAGATGGCACGAATACTTCCCAAGGAGTAAGTTCCCTGTCGATGTGGCAAAGTGGATGCATTCCGAAATCTTTGGTTGAAATATAATTCAACATATATCAGCACTGCAGACCTTCTCGGTGCCTTTAATTTCCCATTGTGTTTTGTGATTCTTCTTATGCTACATCATGTGTGTGTGGCTTTTTCCAATTGATTTGACCCCAGGCCCTTCTCTTCCTCTTCACTCACCAGGAATCCCTGGGACTCGCATTGAGTGTCTCACATTAGGGGAACCCTGCATTAATGGTTGTATGAAGCTCCAATATGGAGGAAATAAGGAATTGGCAGTGGTGGGGACAGTCAGGTGTACCTAGATCCCAGTTGGCGCCTCTGAGTGGTGATGGCATAGTCCCTTTCCCTGCCAGCTTTGCATGTTAAGCTAATCTGATTCTGGGCCTCCCTGGTGGCGCAGCAGTTGAGCGCTGGGTTGCGAAGCTGCCCGCAGCCTCTGCAGCGCCGGTTCGATCCCCGGCTGCTCCCCGGCCACCAGAGGAGGGTCCCGCATGACGCGCAGACCTCTCCTGCCGCCCGCTGCTCCCCTCAGCAGTGTACTTCGTCAGTCTGCCTGTTCTGCTCCCCTCTCTGGCTCTGGTGAATTCTCTCACCCTCCCGCGCTTCTGACTGTTCCCAGTGCTTGTATTAATAAATAAATAAATAAAACATGCATCTATATAAAAAAAATAAGCTAATCTGATTCTCTTTTCAGAGAAAGAGGAGAGAATGAGCATGTGAGATGCCGAGATGGAGGGAGAGCGGGAGAGAAAAATAGAGGCAGAGAGGAAGGAAGGGAGGGAGGGGGAGAGGGAGGAGCGGGTGAGAGAGGGCCGGAGAGGGAGGGAAAGTGATGGAGACCAACAGATAAGTGGCAAAGATGAGCAAGAAGAGCTAAGCGAGGCCCAAGATCACTGGGCCTCTCTAGACCTGGCATCATCGGGTGCAAGAGCAGACCCTGAGGCTCTGCCGCTCTGGAGGAAGCAGACAGCTGCTACATTAAGGAGGTATTACCTAGATGAAGGGAACAATTAGGACATTTAACACCGGAGATAAAGCAAACACCTTTTCCATCAAAAAAAATATATATTAAAGCTAATTCAATTGGAAAAGAGATGATGGCGAGGAGACCTCAGAAGCCCAGGGAGGGGGTGAAGGGCTCACTGATGAGCATGAAGAAGAGACATTTATCCCAACTCAAATATGTGTGCAAGGAGGAGGGGGAGCGAGATTCAGGGGTTCCCCTCCCGCGGGGCTTGAATAAACAAGTCGATGTCAGCTTTTCCTTCCAGTGAAAGAGAGGGCGAGAGTGAGAGGGTGATGAGTAAACCACGCTCCCCCGATTGGCAGGCCTGAAATGAGTGATCAATAGGGTGATATTGCCAAGCTAATTAAATCAGAGCTCCGTGGAACTGATTTCTTGATAGCCTCGGACCAGGTAGACCCACTGATGTGCTGGGCAGGACGGCATTGGAAGGCCCAGGCCAATCTCCTGACCCCGACTTGAGAGTTGAGTTTCTTTCACTGTACCCACCACCCCTTCCCATACCTCCCATACCACCCAAGGCAGCAGCATGTCCTGCTATTTGGAAACACTGAGAAAATCAACACCACACAGTCTAACAGTAGATGACTGGGCATCAAATTTGAGTGCAGTTATTTCTCTTTTAATCTCCTTGCATTGTTCAGACAACAATCTGTGGTGGGTGCACTGTTCCCCACCATCCTACAGATGAAGACAATGACGACCAGAGAGGTGAAGGGATTTGCTCAAGGTCACACAGCTTATGAGCTAAGACTTAGGGTATAAACCCAGGTTTCCTGGAATCCCAGGGAGGTGGTCCTGACAGTTGAATCTGAGCATGTCTAGACCAATTTTTAACCCTCCAGGGCCATATTTTGTTAATTCATTCTTTCTACACAAATTTATAGCTATGAACTTGGCCATGGGAACAAAATGGGGGAAAGGCAGACATGATCCCTGCCTCAGACCAGAGGAGGAAGATAAAGGTAACCGACCAAGGAGGTGACCAGCAAATGGTCATTTACGGAATGTGGGAGTGGCAGTGCATGGTGCAGAAGGCTGAGATGCAGAACAAAGGGGTCAGAAGGAAGCCTGAAATGAAGCAATGGGGGCAGGTGTGGCGGGAGATGGGTGGTGGGCAGACCTGATGACTCTGGAGTGCAGGGAGAGTCTTTGAAAGTATCAGCTCCTAAGTGTCACAAGAAGCACTTGGAGGTCTCCAGCTTGGGTGGTGGCATGACTCAGTTTGTGGTTTTTATGTTTACTTACCCACTTTATGGAGAGAACAGACCCAGATCTGGCCAGTGATTTTTTTCAGGATAACAATACAAATTTATGGTGGCACCAAAGCAGATACATCTGGGAAGGCCAAAGGGCCTCTCCCACCTCATGGTGAGACAGCCTGAGAATGGCAGCTATGTGTTTCTGATCTGTCAACATATCCCCATTACTCAGTCTAGCTCTGGTACCAGCCAAGCACACCCGGAATGTTTATAGAGTGGATGAGTATTAAAAAGGATGGCTGGAGATGAATTTAACACTGGCTGAGCATCCTTTGTGTATCAACAACAAGATTATTTTAATGGGAACAGAAATAATGAAAGACCCTCTTCCTTGATGGAGTTGTTAGCTTTTTCTCCCACCACTATCTCAGAGCTTCCACTGATTCTCTGGGCATGTTCCTCTGCCATGATTCTGCTTCTGTAATTGCTCTGCCCCCAAATGACCTACTTGTTTCAGAGGGAGACCTCTGAGGGAGGGAGACCTCTGAAACAAGGATGATCAGGGCAGGAGGATGGGACTCTAGGATAGGCCAGAACGGCCACCCACCTGCCTGTGCTCTAAGACAAGAGCGCCATTAAAAAGCCCCAGAAGTCCACAAGGCCAAAAACCAAAACCAAGGACTACAGCAATACAACACCCACACAGTAGGGCCCTGTGGGCTACAGCCAATCAAAGGACATTGCCTGATAAGAGAACAGGTCACTATCTGTGAGTTCTCACCTGCACACACAATTGCAAGAGACCTCAGTCTCTGGAACAACATCTAGGGGGTTTATTTATTTTACAAACAGGACAACAAAGAGTTCACTGCAGCCACAAGTGGCTGGCTGTCTCACCCAGATAACATCCATCAGAACTACAAGCAGAGCACCGGTCGCCAGGATTGCTGGACAGTACTGGCCAGTATAATGGTCATTACTGGTCCTTCTGCAGCAGTGTCAGAGACACCAAGTGTTAACAGCTTTGTGACACCAGGACTGGAGCCTTTGGCGCTCCTTTCAGGTGATGTGAGAGACTGGACTGGAGGCCCTGACAGAGGTCTTTGGCTTCTCTTTCCTCTTCGGAGGTCAGCTACTGGGTACTGCTTTTCTTCTTTCTTCTTTCAGCTTCTTGTCCTTCTTTCTTAGGAGGCTGGAACAGTCTCCCTCTCTGTTGCCTCGGATCCTGGCTTATATTCTCTTTCAGGGTGCCCCACCCACAAGTCTGATTGGACCATTTTCAATCCTGTGTCTGACTGGACCAGTTAGCACCAATCAACTAATAGCTCGAACCTGATTGGTCCACTCCACAATCCAGGAATTAAAAGGGCAGTTGCTGGGCTCTGAGGAGCAACTGCCACAATTGACTTGTGGTGGAGCAGCAGGGCAGGGCGGGAGAGCACCGCTGCTGCCGGCTCCCACTGTCAGGGGAGTAACACCGCCAATGAAGGCGGCTCCCATGCGGAGTCAGCCAAGTTCTAGTAACACCTCCAACTTTTCAGCTGCCCAAATTAGATCAGTCCACCCAGATCCAATTCCTCTGTGATGCCCTCCCTGCACTATTTTCCTGGACTCTCTGCACATACTCTTTATCCATGTCTTATCCCTCTCGATATGTAGGCCCAAGCCATGATTCCTATAGTCCTTGCTACACTAGACCCAAAAGAGTGGGTGAATCACCTCTTGCTCAGGTGACTTGGAAGGACCTTGCAAGTCACTCCCATTCTTTGAGACCCTGTTTCTATTCCTGAAAGATAACAAGATCAAATTTTATTGAGGATGGCAAATCTGAGGCACCCATACTGCTATACCCCCTACCAGAGTCAAACAGACATTACAACTGATCATAGACTGCTTTTCTTCCCCATGGTGATCAGATAAACCTTTATTTATTTATTTATTTATTTATTTATTTATTTAAGATTTATTTCATTTATACAAGAACTGGGGTATAGGCCAGATGTGCAGGAGGGTGAGAGGATTCACCAGAGACAGAGCAGGGAACAGAACAAGCAGACTGACAAAATACATTGCTGAGGGGAGAAGCAGGCGAGATGGGAGAGGTCTGCTCGCCATGTGGGTTGCTCCACAGTGGGCAGGGATTGAACTGGCACTGCAGAGGCTGTGGACAGCTTCACAGCGCTGAGCTCAACCGCCTGTGCCACCAGGGGGGCCCCAGCTAAACATTTAGAATGTTTCCCAATGCAGCATTCCAAGCATCCATTACTAAAAAATGCAAAATCACTGAGCAAGATGAAAACTGGAGCCTACTCACCACTCCTTAATGCAATAACTCTAAGCAGTTCTCACATCTGAACTCTGATGACCACCTTGAGTCTGTCTGATGCAAAGAATGTGAAGTGAATACACTGAAACCTACCTGCCAGTTCATGCAGTCTTGTGGGCGCCCCAACTTCCAGAAGCCTCAGTTTCCTTTTCTGTCTGATGGGGTGTCTCTTATAAGATGAAAGAGAGAGAGGGAATCACTGCTTTCTGCCTAGATGACCAGGCCTGCTGTAATTGTGTATAAATATAGTTACTGGACTCTCAGTAAGGAGGCCTAAGGATTTCTCCCAGCAGCACAGAAACTTGATTCCCTGATTTGGATTATTTTTTCAGCCTGTCCAAAGCCGTGTTGCTTTTCTTCTAATGCTGCCATACTTGCAAACATCATTTCGGTGGCTATGTTCTTACCAAGTTCACTGCTATCCCCTCCTCTTCTCTCCAGACAACAGTGTAATCTCCTAGAAGTTCTCAAATAAGTGAGGATTGAGCTTTGCACAAATAGTATGAATAAAGGAACTCCACCTCAGCCTCTTCAAGTCCTCCAGAGAGTAAGCTCCTTGAGGGCAGGAACCTGTCTCATCCACACTGGGTTGGGAGCTTTACAGACTATCAATCAAGAATTGTTGCCCAGCTGGAGGAAAAGAGGAAGCCTCAGACACTATTTGCCCCACACCACGCTTTCTGCATGCCAAGCCTGCTTGCACACGCATTGCTCTCACTCGGACACAATTATGTTAAAAGAGCAATTAGCAACCTTTTAAGCCTGATTGCCAACTCCTCCATTAATCACTTGCAATTATAAATCCCAAATCTTCAAAACAATTGGTCCCAGACGCCCACTAGAGAGGAACGCTAATAACCTTCGTTCTTCATCTGGAAATCTCTGCTCAGTTTGGAGCCTCTGGGTCACAGAGGGGTGGAGAGGACACGAATGGCTGAATAGCCTGACATGAGAGTGGGGACCCTGGAGAAGGGAGTAGGAAAGTCACCCCACAGGAGCCAGAGGGCACTCTGGGAGGCCCAATCCTCTTCCCCTGTCGCCTCTCCCGCATCCCCACTGCCAACCAGGGCCATATATCTCCCCGTGCTTTCACCAAGCCGCTCTAATTCCACATTATGAAGACACTCTCTCTAATTACTGCAGCTAATTAGCTCCTCGCAGCCACCCCAGTCGAGGCGCATGAGAGAGAGAGCAGCCTGCCTAGACCTCCGACGTGCTGGCCACCTCCGGCCGCTGGCTGCCTCTTTGCCACTGCAACGGCACCCCGTGAGCTGACCCCCATGTTTCAGGGGAGAGAGAAGAGGAGGGTGAGAGATGGCGGGAGCCTGCTCGGTCAATCTGAACCCCCTCTCTCTGCCGGTCCCCTGCTGCGGGCAGCAGGCAATTCAGACCTGAGTGCAGCAGCTAATTAAATCAATATGAGATAATGAACGGCAATTAGAGGTCCAGCTAGGCACATCTTCTCTTGTAAATACTGTTTCTCTCCCAACGGGGAGCTCTTTTTTAATAATCTGTTTGTGTTTCATTTCCAGGAGCCGTAATTCCCCCAAGAAGCACTTTGGAAAAGTGATTTGTTTGTCTGTATAATCGCCAAAGCATTCCCCTAGACTTGTTTGTTTTGCTGAGCGCCTGCTACTACTGGAGAGAAACAATTCACATCTCCTCTTTTTTCTTTTTTTTTTTTTTTTGTTAATTTCTATTTCTGCTTAAATGCCCTGACATTGGACCAGGCCAAGAATGTGTTTCAGAAATCTCTGAGCTCCTTCTTCTCCCCTCCCTGTCTCTCCCTCTACCATTTTGAGCAATGAAGAAAACCAGAAACCTTACTAAGAGATCAGGATTGAGGGCAACCTGCCCATTCTACAGATGAGAAAACAGAGGTTTAAAGTAGCCATCAAAGACTGACACACCAGCCATTCTCGCCTTCATTTAGACATCTCTCCAGCTCCCGTGGTGCCCAGGGAAAAGCTGGGGGAGGGGGGAGTGGCAGCATTATAAAGAGCCCTCTGCCCTCAAGGAGCTTGCAAATTTATCTGGTGAGACAGGCTAAGGCACATATCAATTAGAAAGCAATTAAGTGCCTAATTGTGTGGCACCAACAAGCTCAAAGAGTTCAGGGAAGGAAAAGATCCTTTGGGGAATAGAGTGGAAGGAGAGGAAGTCAGAGCTATTTGCATCTTAACGCTATCTTTATCCTCCATCAAGGCCTGTTTTGGAGCTCTGGGCTTTGCTATCTTCATTTGGATTCCCTGTGGCCCCACAGTCACTATGCACAAAGTGGAAAGCAGCACCCCCACCCCCACTATTCTCATTCCCTGTGCTTTCTCCTCAATAAATTGCCCACCATTCATGCAGTTTCCCCAGTCCAGGGAATATTCCTTTCCCCATGCCATCAGCACCCAGTCAGAACCCAGGACCTTGTAAATGTCTCTTACTTTGTTCCAGCCAATTATCACTATCTTGGTCCCAACCATCAACCCCTGCACCTGAATTCTTACAACATTTACCCTTCTGGTCCTTGAGTCTAGACTCAGTCCCTTCCAGGGTGATACACACAACTGCAATCAGGGTGCTCTCCACAGCACAATCTGACCAAGTCATTCTGATGAAAACTTCTCTGGGTCAAAACTTCAGTGCTTACTGCTGGCCTTTGCCTACAGTTTTAACCTTGCCTTTTGCATCTCCCCGCAGGCACACACAGTCACACACACACACATACACACACACACACCATGCTTCAACTTGTGACCTTACATATAATATATATAGATTGCCCCTTATATGTCCAGGACTCTCCAAGAGCTTCTTTTTTCACTGAGAACTCTTTATACATTTCTCTTAACATCTGTAGTGTTCAATTCTTATTCCTTTCTTAGGTAGCATCTTAGAAAACACCTCTTCCAGAAAGCCTTTCTATCCTCCACCAACTTAGACTGAGTACCTCTCCCCTGGGTTGCAATAGCCACTTGTGCTCACCAATTATAGTCATAGAATTTATTGTTACAGGGCAGGGTGAGGGGTACCTAGGACCCCCAAACTTACCTGCTCTAAATAGGTTCTGCCATCTGCCACATCCAGACAAAACATACTCCAGAGTATAAGACCTTTAATGGAAAGGAACTTGAATATAATTTGTGTGCAATAAAGAGAAAACAAGGCAAAGAACAGAAAGAAGAGCTCCCAAATCAAGTACGCAAAGTCATCACCCCTCATGGGGAAACACCCAGCAAACAGGGTTGGCCCAAAACAGGACTGCTGAGGCCCAAAAGCCTGCCACAGTCTAAGGTACCTTCTGGCGGGTTCCCATAGGAAAGGGGCAGAAGGGGTCAGACAAGTCTGGAAGGAAAAGAGCAAAATCAAAATCAAGATAAAAGCTGCCATTGTTAACCTCCCCATCGGTCTCTCACCCATATTTGCTTCAAGTGTCTCCTTTCATGTCCCCCAATCCCTGGGACCAGTTCAAGGCCAAGAAGCAAGTGCTGCTTCTTCACATGTCCCTCTGCTCCCTGGGCCACCTCCTTGCTCTCTTCCTTCTTGCTTCCTTCTCCAGTCTCCTCCCCAGCTTCTCCTCCTCCCTGCTCAGCTCCACCCTTCTCTGAGTGGGGCAGGGAATCTGGAACCTCCCCCTTTTCCTGGGGACCACCCTGTTACAGCATCATGTGTGTGTGATATTATACAGGCCTGACCATCTCCTCTCTGCCCTACTGGAATAAGGACTCTTTGAGGTCAAGACATGTTTTGCTCTTCATCAGACTTCACACTACTTGGCATACCTTAGGTGCTCGATATGCACTCATTGAATAAGTGATAAATTTAGAAAACTGGAAGTACCCTCACAATTCATCCAACCCAATATCCTTCAGATAGCAAAACTGAGCTCTCAGAAAGAGCTGTGAGGCAGAATGAGAGTAGATCCAAGTCATCCTGGCTGCTAAGGCAGGATTCAGTTCAGCATGCTTATTTGATTTTAATCAAATATGTATTTATTTGACTAAATGTTTAAATATAAGTAAATATTATTTGACTAAATGAATAAGGACTGAACATGTTCCTTGGGAATCTAGAAATGACTACAACATGGATCCCATCCTCAAGAATCACATGGTCTAGTTTGTAGGGGGTCAGATTATGACAAGACAAATTATTACAAAAATAAGCATGTAGTGAGCATGGAGGAAGGGTTTATTGGGGGTTGAAGGTAGCACTAAAAACTTGACAGAAGGTGATGGGCAAGATTCATGTAGAAAATAAAACTTTGCTGGCCCATGACGGATGAAACACAATAAACTTCAAGTAAAACTCAGGCCCTTACATATCACTCCCATTTTCCCCACAAATTTCACCCTCTGCAAAATCCTATAAATTATGAAGAGAAGGAATTTTCACCACCCTCATTTCCAATTTTCAGAAGAGGGAACAGGAACACAGAGAGTCTGTGATTTACCCAAATTGACAAGTGAATAAGGAGAAACAATTGATGAGTATTTTTGAGGAAGAGTTTGGCTTGAAAGAGCCCTACTTATAACATTTGTTGTCCCTGACTGAAGAGCACATATAGGATCTGGTCTTCCTAAATATCCCATACATAGCTATCTTGCTTATCTCATCAACTGCCTTATCTACTTGTACAGATTAGGATTCTGAAGCTCAAAGAGATTTAAAAATTTGTACAGGACACACATTTGGTCAATATTGAAACCATGATTTAATCCAGGTCTGTATGCTACCTTATGCTTCTCTTTTGCACAGAAAATAGTGTCATTAAAGATGGCATGAAGTCTGAAGACATGTTATGGTAGAGAATAGGTGAATCTACTGTGGAATCTGGAATAAAAAGTTGGAGCCAAGTCTGGGATTCAAACTGCGCATTCATTTTCCAGTAGAGCTTATTACAGGAGTTTTTGGAATACGAGATTAGACAAGGTTCCGGTCTGTTAGATGGTTGAAAGTTATTCTTAAACATATAGGACATGTGTTATAACTTGCCAGTTGTATCATGGAAAGGTGAAATTAGGAGAATTTCTCAGGGGTAGAGGCCATCAACCAGAGCCATAGATGGATTCCCATCTACCATGTGAGAACACGAAAGCAAAGAATTCAGCACCACGGACAGCTCTGTCGAGGGGGCGTTGCTGCCCTAAAGCTGGTCCTTGCATTACTTCCTTGTAGTAATATACAGTGAATGGTTGTTCCAATAATTGACAAATAAAAAGGAAATAAGTAAGAGCTTGGTGTCGACTTTTCTCCTCAGAGGATCATAATCCCATTGCTGAATGACTTATACCAAAGCTTCAGTCTCCCATGGAGCCACACCCTATGGTCTCAGCTCTTACATGGAATTCCATCTAAGGTAAGACTATCCCTCAAGATGGTTGACTTTGGCTTCCTCTTAGGTTCCCCGAGTCCCCAAGGTCTGGAACACTAGGCCATATTTGAAGTAAGGCAGACCATCATCAATCAATCTTCCAGCAGACCATTCTTTCCAAGACTTAGGCCAGACTTAGTCCAAGTCCAGGAAAGACAGATGTGCAAAAAATAGCACCAACTCTGTCACTCTCCTCAGGAGGGAAATCAAGGTGAAGAGAGAGACTTCAGTTTAGCTTGCTGTAGGTACTGGTGAATTCCTAAATAGTGACTGTATCATTGTTAATATCTACTACTGGCATTTTCACATTCTAAGTACACTTTTAAATGTGATTTCATTTAATCTTCTCAAGCACTCTATAATAAGTGTACTATTAACACAATTTTATAGACAAGAAATCTAAGGCTCACAGAAAGGAATTAACTGGTCACAGGTCACCTAGGCAGGATTTTACAGAATCTGGCTTCAGAGTCTGATTGTCTGACTCAAGTCCCTAATGCTTCTACCATGCTATGTTTTCTTTGGTGGTCTTCCTTGATCTTCAAGCTAGTAAGACTTGTAACTCTTGACCTAAGAGCAGGATACATCAAACCCACTCCAAAGGCAAGCTGAATCTCTCCATTGGTCCTTGTGTGGTCCTTCATAATTTTTTCTCTCCATTATTTTCATGAAGTCTATCATAACTATGCCAGATTTCACTATTCCCTAACAACTCCCTCCCACCTTTCTTTTCTACTGTACTCAGAGCTTTAAAACATGAAACCTATTTTTTTCTGGGCCACAAATATCGCTGGATAGGAAGATTCTTACCAACAATGTAAGAATCTATTGCATTTTGCTATCAAAATGCAAAATTCACCTTCTCTTCCAGTCTTTACTATCCGAATGATAAGGTACCGGGTAAATCTGTAACATAGTCTTGCTCACACTCTACTCCCTACAACAGGAGGCATATAGGCTCCCCTCCTATTCTCTTCCATCTTCAATTTCTTCCTTCAAACTCTTACAAGTCACATTTGACATAGGAAAACTTCCCAAGCATAATGCAATGGAAGAAAATAAGCTTTCAAATCAGGTAAAGATGTCTTCAAATACATGTTCCTTTTCTTCAGTCTGTGATTTTGAGCAAGTTTCTTAGTTATCTGTAATCTGGAGATGATGCTTATTTTTAGCTGCTAAGTAAATCAACAATCATGTATACATAGGTAGAAAGAGGCATAGTGGTATTGATATTAACATTAATAAAAATAACAAATGCGAATTTATTAAACCCTTGTCATTTACTAGGCATTGTTTTAAATGTTTTATGTATAATAATTAAGTCCTTATCTAAAGATAAAGAAACTGAGGTATGTTGAAGTTAAATAATGAGCACAGGATTATACAACTAGGGATTTTCAGAATTTACACAATCCAGATGTCCAAATAACTCTACAGTCCATCTCCCTCAGTCTCCATCACATGGCCCCTATCTTCTACTGCTCATCATCCCATTTGTCATCCTAGCCACCAAGGCTAGGCTCACCGATGGCTCCCTCATTCATAAAATCATGCCCTAACTTCTAGGAATACACAAAGACCCGATCATATAAACATGCAAATGTACCACACACTAAATGTGCTTAATAAATATTTGTTGAAAATTATGATTTCTGGAAATTTAGTTCTTACCTCATATGCAACAACCGCTCAGCAAAATATCATTGACAATAAAATTACTACATCTAAGAACCCATTCTTGTTCTTATCCTTAATTTCTTGGGTGCCCTTGCTTCTACTGAAAACACATCTAAGCTTCTCCCCTTCCTGGGTTCCCTAAACTATCCTTTCCTATTTCCTCCTTACCTCTGAGTTCCCTTCTTAATTCCACATGTTAAGTGTACCCAATATCCCAATAGGTGATTCTGACTTCTCCACTTGCTCCTCTCCTGCCTCCATCCCCAAGATTCATGGTTCCCTTCTGTTGGAAGGACCCCCACTTTAGTTTTATTTCCCCATAAGCAGAGACTCTGAGTTGAAATTTCTAGTGTAAATGGTTTATCTGGTCTTCTATTAAATAGTGGGAAGGGGCATGCAGAAGTTAAATAGAGAAAAAAAGGTAGATACCTCATCAAAGGTACAAAACCAAACAAGGTACCACTGAGGGCATCTAGAGCCTTATCCCACCAGAGAGTGATGGGAAGAGTGTAGAACATGCTCTTCCAAGTAACCCCACTTGAGGAGTCAGGAGGCAGGGACCATTTATCCAACTCCCTCCAATCATTGGTTGAGTGTTGCCCCTGGAACTTGTGACTTCTCAGGCATTTCCAGCTTGCTTGTATGTGGAGCAGACACCAGCCAACAGCAATGCCTGTAGACTCCTGAAATTCAGCCCCGCCAGTTCTATAAGGGTAAGGCACTACTGGGTAGGGCCACCAACAGTGTCAGCTCTAACTTCCAAAATTGTCTCTTTATCTACAACTCCTCTCTCAGGTTCCAGACCCAAATTCCCAACTTGGGGTGGTCATTTGGGTGGACCTTCCTGGGTTTCTCAAACCCAGTAAGGCCACATTAAGCATCCCACCATCCCTACCACCCCATATGTCATCATTCCAAGTTCATCATACATCTTCTATATGCTCAGCATGCAATAATTTTGTCTATTATGTGTCCTTACCTACCACCCTCAGTGTATACTCAGAGACACAATGTGACAGAGGTCAATGCCATCTTGACTGTGGAAGGACAATAGCTTAAATG